GCAAAGCCAAAATGGGAAAGGAAAAGACTTACTAGTATATCAACATCATTGTCATTGGACATGTAGATTCTAGCAAATCTACCACTACTGGCCAACAGATCTACAAATGTGCGATTGACAAAAAAAAATAAATTAAAAAGAAAATTTTGAGAAGGAGGCTGCTGAGATGAGGAAGGCTCCTAAAAGTATGCCTGGGTCTCAGATAAACTGAAAGCTGAACGCGAGCATGGTATCGTCATTGATGTCTCCCCGTGGAAATTCAAGACCAGCAAGTATTATGTGACCACCCTTGATGCCCCAGGACACAGAGACTTCACCAAAAACAGGACTACAGGCACATCTCAGGCTGACTGTGCTGTCCTGATCGTTGCTGCTGGTTTGGTGGAGATTCAAAGCGGGTATCTCCAGGAATGGGCAGATCCATGAGCATGCCCTTCTGGCTTATGCACTAGGTGGGTATGAAACAAATGATTGTTGGTCTAACAAAATGTATTCCACTGAGTCATCTTGCAGCCAGAAGAGATATGAGGAAGTTACTTGAAAGTCAGCACCTCCATTAAGAAAATTGTCTACAGTAGCATTTGTGCAGGTTTCTGGTTGGGATGGCGACAATATCCTGGAGCTAGGTGCTAACATGTCTTGGTTCAAGGGAGGAAAAGTCACTGGTGAAGATGCAATGCCACTGGAACCGCACTGCTTGAAGCTCTGGATTGCATCCTGCCACCAACTCTTCCAACTGACAAGCCCCTGTGTCTGCCCCTCCAGGACATTGACAAAATGGTGCTGTCCCTGCGGGACCAGAGGAGACTGGTGTCTGAAAGCCCGCACGGTGGTCACCTTTGCTCTAGTCAATGTTACAACTGAAGTAAGGTCCGTTGAAATGCACCATGAAGCTTTGAGTGAAGCTCTTCCTGGGGACAAGGTAGGTTCAATGTCAAGAACGTGTCTGTCAAAGATGTTAGCTGTGGCAGTGTGGCTGGTGACAGCAAAAAGGACCCACCAGCGGAAGCAGTGGCTTCACAGCTCAGGTGATTATCCTGAACCACCCAGGCCAGATCAGTGCTGGCTGCTCACCTGTGCTGGATGGCCACACAGCTCACATCGCCTGCAAATTTGCTGAGCTGAAGGAGAAGCTTGATCATCATTCTTGGAAAAAGCTATTTAGGTTTAACCTTCAGAAGGAAAGGAGAATGTTTTGTGGACCATTTGGTGGTGGTGGTGGTGGTTGTGTGTGTGTGTGTGTGTGTGTGTGTGTGTGTGTGAGAGAGAGAGAGAGAGAGAGAGAGAGAGAGAGAGAGAGAGAGAGAGAGCTTTAAGTTACTAGTTTTTAAAATCAGTATTTTTTCATGGTAACAACTTGACCAAAAATCTGTCACAGAATTTTGAGACCCATTTAAAACAAAGTTTAATGAGAGAATAAAGAATGAAAGATGACCCAAGATTAGAACTTCGGGTGGCTCTTTCAGAACTCTTACCCAAAGCGAAACATGGGGAAAAGAGAGAACTCACTGAAGGTGACAGTGAGAGACGAGTTAGTAAAGGTAAATTTGAAGCTTAGCCCCATATAAACTCATCTGAGACTTTTGGAGAAGAAAGAAGCCAGAATTTTTTGTTGTTGTCATTCTATATAACAGAAAGTTAAGGGGCATTTGAACTTGGAAGAGGTCGTTATGTAAAATGCTAAGGAACTATTGTGACATTCTATCTGGCAGGCAGTTATTCAGATATTTTTATTTGATCTGTTGCTAAGATTTTATCGCCTATCTGGGTATAAAGAGTCCGTAGTTTCTTTCTTGAGTTTCCAATTTAAAATTAAGTACATTCCAGCTACACAAAAAACACATATTTATGATGCTCTGCTTTTTACGAAGCTCAACGTGGAATGGCAAATTTATGCCAAGGTAGGTTTTCATGGAAAACTGATATGTGAAATTATATAAGTTCCTTCTATTCTTGTATTATTTAACCATGAAACCCCATCTCTATCCTAAAGCCCCAGTAAAAAGGCTGTAATGATAACTCTCCAAACCTATTGAGAGAAGCAAAAAGACTCGAATGAGAGAAATACTTCCTTGGGAAACAATAACATTTCCCTAAATTTGGTTTAGCTACTTAGTGAAATCTCTAAACCCATTGAAACAATATAAAGATTCCAAAACTATTTTTCTCTGTTTAAATAAAAGTGGATAAGAGTCTTAATTGCATAGAAATTCTCTGAGATTAAATAGACCTTCCTCTCAAACTGAGAGGAAGTATTCTAAAAACTTTTTTCAATGAATACCATTGCAGTTTAGAATCCTCATGTTGACTACTGTTATGTAAAGATAAAGGTTCCTGCCCTAACCGGTTTGGCTCAGAGAGTCGGCCTGGGGACTCAAGGGTCCCAGGTTCAATTCCAGTCAAGGGCATGTACCTTGGTTGCAGGCACATCCCTGGTGGGGAGTGTGCAGGAGGCAGCTGATCAATGCTTCTCTCTCATCGATGTTTCTAAATCTTTATCCCTCTCCCTTCCTCTCTATAAAAATCAATAAAATATATTTTAAAAAAGATAAAGGTTCCTACCCATACCCCACCAGTGAAATAAAATGTTGTTGAAGCCCAATGAAAATGGCAAATTGCTAGACAAAATCTCAGGAAGAATCCAGAATTTAGTCTATAGGGACCCAAGTGCAAGTCAGAAGTTATGGTCCCTGGTGACCCAAAGTCCTCTGTCTGGGGCAGGGGACACCACATAGGGATTCTGCTGCCAGAGACCCCTCTGTCCCAGCACAGAGAGAGCTCCTTCTCTCTCATCAAGTCTTACTGTGAACAAGGGCACAGCTTCCCATGTCCTACAATCCCTTTCTTGCTGTCCCTGAACTACCCCCTTTTCATTATAAGGTTTTAATACTGACCTTAGAACAGGGTTTCTCAACCATGGCATTGCTGGTATTTGGGCCAGATAATTCTTTGTTGTGAGGCCCTGTTTGTGCCTGCTGGGATGCTTAGTAACAACAGGCCTTTACCCGCGATGCTGGTAGCACCCCCTCAGCCAGGTGAGCCAACCAAAAATGGCTCTAGTCAAATGTCCCCTGGGTGGGTTGGGGGCCAACACTGTCTCTGGTTGAGAACCACTGCCTTAGTTGATAAGGAAAATGACTAATGGTGGTGGCAAATGCCCTGCCATCTTTTGTCCTTCTCACAGTCTGAGGATACATGGCATGGGCCATCACCTGGGATACGCATGCCAACCTTGGTCCGGGTTCTGGACTTGCTATGCCCTCGAGCTAATACTTGTATTTCTTTGAGCCTCCGTTTTAGAATAAAGATGTATTCATTCATTACACATGTACCCAATGCCCATGGACATGCAAAATGAAAGGGGGCCTCCTTCAAAGTTGTTCACAGTTTAGTGAGGAGCTAGAGATCAACATTAATTAAAATAGGAGCTTTAAGTTCCAACCAGAGGTTTCTCACACCTTGGTGAAAAAGGAGACAGACCTTGGATTCCTTGGTTGTCCTCCTATCAGATGTGTACCTGTGAAGTCCATTACCCAAGTCCATGTTCTGTTGCCTTCTTGCTACTGGTGGCCCTGCCCTGCTGGAGGCTAAGACCAGCAGGTCATAATTATGCAAGAGGTCCTCAGAAGGCTGATGGTCTGTGGGCTTTTAGCAAGAACTAAGGCTATGCACGGATTGTTCTGTCAAGACAATGAATGGCTCTAGGCAACCCCTAACCTGATAATATTTTACTGTTTACCAAACCTTACCTTTGATATGTGTGTTTGCTTTGCTAAAGGGCAAAATGTGTAAATAAAAAGCCCGGGGTCCAGACATTCAGAGAACCACTCCACTAGAGAGTGGGTATGTGTCTGGCCCCCCCACCCCCACCCCCAATGCCTTCTAAATTTGTATTTCTTGTCTAGTATATCCATTTATGTCACAGCCTCTTCTCCAAATTCCTGAACCCTTGCTGCAAAGACTGCAGCACTGCCCGTGGCCTATTCCTTCTCTGTACTCAGTCTCCCTCGTGAGAGTGGAAGCCATGGCAGTCTTTCGCCTACTTAGCCTCTTACCCACTTCTCAGTCCCAAAGGCTCTGACTGTGGGAAGGGCTCCTCTGTTCACCCCTGTACACGAAGACATTGTTAGTAATAAAGAGATCGGTCCAGTACTACTGGCTTCCACTGGCAACGTTAAACCCATCCTTCATACCCCAAGGGAGGTCACATTTCAAAACTCTCCTCTCAATTCTGCCCAAACAAGGTCCTTCCCTGACCCACAAAAGCCCAGCGGTGACCCTGCCAGCACTGTCCAAAGGCCCCATAGGATTATCAATACCAAAGGGCCGCAGATAAAAGACTTTTATTGGCAACCATTTTCTCCTGTTTCAACATAAAGCAGCATCCACACAGAACAGAGACCAATATCTTGATTACATGCCCAAGTAAAAGATGATGTTGTGTTTATTTGTACTCATTTCCTGAACCCAGCCAGATTTGATGAAATCTGGATGTTTTTCCCTCCAGAGGAACTTTAACTCTTCAGTGGCCTATTGTGTGGTTTGTGAAGAACCCAGACATCATGGTTGTTTTTCAGCACCCACCCCCCATCTTTAGCCTTTCCTACCACTGAGAGTCTCTGAGTGTGGATGAAAAACTCGATCTCTCTTAGCAACTTTTCTATTTTTCTACTTAACCTACACAATATTTTATAAATGGTCACTTCTGTGTGAACGTACTTCAGCTTAATGTAGCACACCTGGTATCAGTACGGTTACCATGGGCAACTTGGAAATTTGTGTTACATAGATTTAAGATATATATATATATATATATATATATATATATATATATATATATATGTATTTCAGAGAGGAAGAGAGAGGGAGAGAGGGATAGAAACATCAATGATGAGAGAGCATCATTGATCGGCTGCCTCTTGCATGCCCCACACTGGGGATTGAGTCTCCAACCTGGGCATGTGCTCTGACCTGCAAACGCTACACATTCCAACTCACCTTTGCGATTCTGCATTCCAGGCGTCAGTATGGAAAGTGAAGAAGAGGCAGTTGGGGCGATAGGTGCAAATGGTTCGACAGACAAAAGCATCTGGAGTGATGACTCTGGCAACGTCCACATCCGAAAATGCCGTACGTTGGAACATGTTCATGTGGCAGCCTGTGAACTCACAGAGGGAAGGTGCTACTCAGGAAATGACGCAACGCTAAATGTACATGTACTTGGTCATCACAACTAAGGAAATTATGGCTATTCACAGCACTAAACATCTTAAGTAAAAAAAATGTCAACATCTCCCCAACCTTGTTTGCCATTTGGAAGAAGGGAAAATTGGTCCAACTCTCATACAAGACAGATTCCTATGTCAGAGAATAAAATAGCTCCACCTATGCCCCTAGCTCTCGTCTAACCAATGCAAAATATGTAGTTACTCAGCATTGGTTCGCATTTTCTTTATATTACCTTGACCCTGAATTCCAGGCCTTAGGAACATGAGGTTTTGTGTCATATTGTCTTGAGTATTGTGCAGAAGATTTTAATAAAAACAGATTAAGAAAAATACCAGTCCCTGCCAGTGTGGCCTAGTGGGTGAATGTCAATCCATGAACCAGGAGGTCAAGGTTCGATTCCCTATCAGGGCACATGCCCAGGTTTGGGGCTCAATCTCCAGTAGGGGGTGTGCAGGAGGCGGCCGATCAATGATTGTCTCTCATCATTGATGTTTCTATCTCTTTCTCCCTCTTCTTACCTCTCTGAAATCAATAAAAACTCATTTCAAAAAGAAAAGAAAGAAAAATATCAGTTAGCTAACAAAAATGCCATGTGCCCAATGAAATTAGAACAGAAGAAAATTCACTTTCATTATTCTTATTTAATGTTATTGTTAATCACATTTTGTGTTTATATTATTGTACTCACTTTGATAGCACATAAATTCTATTAAAATTATAGAATTTAAGTAACAATGATAGCAATTATGCGAGAGAAAAAAAATTAATTTAAATGCACTAATTTAGATCAGGAGAGAGCACTTTCCATAACATAATTATCTTCAAAGAGGCAGGCTGGGAAATTAGACTTCAACTATTGAAATCTTTAATAGACTCTTGAAGCTGGGAGAGAACTTATGGGTCATCCATGCCAACTTATAACTGCATCCTTTCAAAGATATCCCCAGCAAGTTGTCCAAGTTTTATTTAGACATTTACATTGATAAGGAGCTCGCTACCTAATGACAAAGGCCCATTTCTTTCTGAACCACTCTTAGTATTAGAAACTTTTCTTATTTTCTTCATGAAAACATTTAACCTAGATCTCTCTTACAAAACCACACAAATTAAACTAATTCCTTTCCCAATGCCAATCATCAAAACACAGAAAAAATTAAGGCAGTCATCCTGGCTCTTTTTCAAGTAAAATATCTTTACCTTACTCCTTTAACCATTTTTAAAATTTCCCATCACTTCTAGATACTTTACCCTCCTGGTTATCCTCTTTTTGTGAATGCTGGTCCATTTGTGGCTCGGGTTCAGGATCTGAAGAAGGGGCTGTGCACAAATGAATACATTAGAAAAAAATATGAATTTAGAAGGCATGGGGGAGCCAGGTAGAAACTTCCCTCTAGTGGAGAAGCTCCCTGAAAACTTGGTCCTGTCTGCTTTTTATTCACTTCAATACACATTTTCCCTTTAAGAATGCAAACAGGCATATCAAAGGTAAAGTTTGAGAAATAGTAGAAGGATTATCAGGTTAGGGAATTGCCCTGAGCCATTTGGCCACCAGCAGAGCAATATTATACTGAATATCATATTAATATGCTAACTACTGTTGGTCTTAGCCTTTGGCATCTTTTGAAGTGAGAATACAATTTTTCAGTCACACCCTGAATGGAGAATGACTACCATTAGATTCAGTGTTTCTTCGGGGATGATGAAAATGTTCTGGGACTGCATAGTGGTCACTGTTGAACAATTTTGTGAATACAGTGAAAACCACTGAATTATAGATCTTAACAGATTTAAATTTATATTATGTAAATTATATATCAAATTCTAAAAACTATGAAAAATATATACTATATTAAAATATCACACTTGAAGAAACAGAAAAAAAGATATGCATATTAAAAATTGAAAATCAGTACCATTTGAACCAATAAATCTGCTACACATTGGGGGAGAGGGGAGGGTGGTACTGGGGAAGAGAAGGAACAAATAAGAAGAGAAATGCATTGTTGCTGACTTCCCAATCTTCCATGGAGGGGTCCTAGCCCAGCACCTACTATAGGGCTTGGTACAGAGTTGTCACTGGATACTGTATAGAATTGGCTATCAGTGATTTGATTTCAATAACAACTTATCATTCCTGCCCCAATAGGCTAAATAAGGTAGAACATCATGGCAATTTTCTGCATAATTCAAACTGAAATTACTTGTATGTCTGAAACTACAGGGTTTCATGGATTCCTTATGCCAGAATCATGTGACTAAACAATGGACACCACCAAGAAATGACCGTCTAGCTTTCTCTGCCTTATCACTGCACTAGCCTCCCATTGCTGCTGTAACAGATGACCATCAGCTTAGTGGTTTTGAACAACACATCTATTATCTCACAGTTCTGGAGAGGAGAAGTCTGAAATGGGTCTTACTGAGCTACAATCAGCATGTTGTCAGAGCTTCCCTAGCCTTTCCCTTCTACCACTGCATTCCTTGGCTCATGGACCCTTCTTCCATCTTCAAATCTCTCTCTCTCTCTCTCTCTCTCTCTCTCTCTCTCTGACTGATCCTTCTCCCTCCCTCATTCTCTTATAAGGAAGCTTGTCACTTCATTGGGCCCATCCACATAATCCAGGATCATTTCCAATGTCAAAGTCCTGAACTTAGTCACATCTACAAAGCTCCTTTTGCCCTATCAGGTCACATAATCATAGGTTGTGAACTCATTTGGAGAGGTCTTATTCTGCCTACTACAATTATGTAGTGAAAGAGTAGCCATGGGATTACCAATTTCTGAGAGTGCACAGTACTTTAGGGAGAATCCAGATGTCATGTTTTCCAGTACCTTTATACTGGTTGGTGTTCCGGATGGACTGTGCTTTTAATAGGCAGTTGTTTCTGAAGGTGAAGAAAGGAGGTTACTTTCATCCATTTCATGTTGAAATGATCCATGGTCCATGAAAAATAAACAAAACAATCTAAAAAATGACTGGTAATGAAATAAACATCCTCCTCCTCTACAGAGGAAAGGTTAAGGAGAGAATGCAGTAGGAGAACCTTATTCTATAAGACATTTTTCTACTGAACCTTCATTCCACAAGCACAGCTATCTGCAAACCAAATGAAAATTACTCTCTTCAGGGAAAATGACACCAAAAGTAGGTATATAAGGAGAGTACTTAGGTCTAAAATCCCTGTTTAGTTTTTAGTTGGAAAATAAAAAAGGTTAAGAAGAATGCAATCCTTCCTATATAATAAAAGGCTAATATGCAAATCGACCAAATGGCACAACGACTGGTTGCTATGACATGCACTGACTACCAGGGAGCAGAAACTCAACATAGGAGCTGCCCCCTGGTGGTCAGTGTTCTCCCACAGCGGGAGCACCACTCAGCCAGAAGCCCTGAGCCAGGCTCACAGATGGTGAGTGCAGAGGTAGTGGCGGGAGCTTCTTCCACCCTCACGGCAGCACTAACGATATTCGACTGCCTGCTTAGATCTGCTCCCCATGGGGAGTGGGCCTAAGCCATCAGTTGGACATCCCCCGAGGGTTCCCAGGCTGCAAGAGGGTGCAGGCCGGGCTGAGGGATCCCTGAGTACACAAATTTCGTGCACCGGGCCTCTAGTTCAATCATAAAATCACTCTGGTAAAGAACAAACACTGAATTTTGCTCACTGGTACTCCACATTGTGAAATGTTTGCCTGGCGTAGGTGAAAAATTTGCAGTGAATGTTATTGGTGCACCTTTTTTGGAATTCTTCAACACTTTCAACTTTAGACACATTAAAATTGACTCCTCTCATATCAATTCCTTCATAAATGTCACTATGGCAAACTGAACAAATAAGATGCATAGAGCAAACTCAGTTTCCCTTCTAGAAGCAGATCATCAAATTGGACAGTGTAGTTTTCAAGGGTGATATTCTGGTTTTGGAAATTGCCCTATTCATTAGGGGATTTAGAACTTTTATTACATCATTAAATGACCAAACTGTTTGAAATGAACACATTCCAATATGTGTTAGAGTACTGGCATGGAAAGGGGTTACTTTCCTTCTAAAACTGCAAGGTGTGTGCAGCAAGACAGGTAATACTTCCCTGAAATGGTCAATGAGCCGTGGGAGATGAGGCAGTAGCAGTGAGGCCCTGCTACTGTGTGCTAGGCAGTGCCTCAGGAAAGCCTTGACCTCTTGCATTGAGTGAAGGAGCTTCTTATCTCTTTGCCTATCCCTCAGTTTTCAACTGCCCCTCTCTGGTTGCAAATTGCATTGGTAAACCCTGTGATTGACATCTATATGTCACATCATTATCATAAAATGTGGAGAGTTCTTTACAAGCATAGTGAAACCATTTCCCTCCTTGCTTTTAAGTTTTCTTAAATTCCACTTAACCACCCTCCAATTAAAATGTATCTTATATTTTTTAAAAAGACAGATAATTCTTTTTACAGACAGTGAACCAAATTTGAGTTAGGTTCTGTTTTTCCTTAAAGAAAAAACATTTATTGTATGTATTATTCCACTCCTAAGAGGTAAGGTTGAAAAAGTCCTAAAACTAGACTTAATGGTGGGAATGACAGAAAACACGCAAAGGATTAGAAAAACAATATATTGAGGTGGGCAGAACCGTGGACTATTCACAGTGCTTCACACACACAGGAGTTTGCAGATTGTAGAAATAGAATATCTTATCAATTCTGCTGCATATGAGAAAAGAAACAGGCTAAGGCTTGGGATGGGATACTTCCAGACCAAAACTTTTCTTTATGGTTAGTTTAAAGCTATAAACCTACTTCTAAATGTTTTAAACTAAAATTGGTCCTGAGTTTAGAATCTTCATTTGCCTGGAATCATTTTTCACTTTAATTTTTTTAAAAGTTATTTGGGGAGAGTTAAAAGGGAACATTAAATCAAGCTTTGTGAGTAGGCTAATGGTGGGGTGGGGGTGGGGGGCAATAAGTGTTAGGTCGGAGAGAGCCCAGGATCGGATACATGCAGACATGACAAGATAATAGACTTCCCCTGGAATTTCTCACAGATCAAGGTGCCAGACACAGATACCAGCTTCTTCTCCCTGAATTCACATACCCCCACACAGATAAGAACTTCATCCTGAATATTCCGCCCATTCCCTGCAGCAGAGAATTCCTCAGCTCATGTCCCCGCCCCTCACCCAACCGCAGTATAAACAAAGCACCCCCCTCCCTGTTGGCGTGAATCCACGTGCCCTGTCCTTGGGGTACGTGGGTCTCCCGGGGACGCAGAATAAACCTTTTCCTTTCCTTTCTTTTCTGATTCACTGGACTCTATTTCTTGCGCCGCCTCCTGAGCCACCTAACCTAACATTTGGTGCCTTGAAACCCGGGTGGCGCGAGCACTCCCTTTGGCCGTCCCTCCACGGCTCTGGGTGCCCGCCTCTCCCTCCTCGTGGCTCTGGACCCATCAGGACCTCATCTCTTCAGCTCAGCAACTTTTCCCAGTTTGGCAGCATCAGCGGTGAGTCCCGCCCTGCCCCGTGCCGGTCCCATGTGGCCGCCCGCCCGCCGGCATCTCTGACCGTAAACCGTGGCCACGTCAGAGATTGCCTCTCCGGACCCTTCCAGGAAGGCTCCTCCGGACCTGGGGGGTAGCAGGGACGCCTCTACCCCGCCCACGGTCCCTCCGTCCCTCCATAGCGTGGGTTAAACCGCTGGGACGCCAGCCTTTAGCCCCGCTACAGGCCACGGGGATCAAGCACAGGGGGAATCCAAATTCCAAACCTGACCTGAGCACACCTCTAGGGTGCCTGCTCGCTGATCTGGCTAAACGCTGGGCCTGCCCCGGACCTGCGTCCTCAGTATGAAAACGGGACCCTGACTTTACCGTCACACCGACCTCAGTAATTTCTGCCAGCGAACTGGGAAATTTGCCCAAGTCTCTCTCTCAGTCTCTCTCAGTCTCTCTCTCAGCCTCTCTCCATCTCTCTGCGTTCCCCGTCCCCCCCCCCCCAAAGTTCCTTCTGCCATTTCTCCTCCTCCTCCTGTCCTTCCTCCTCCCTTCGGGCTGTCCCTGCGCCATGCCGCTCCCCGCACCGCTGAGCCCGCGGTGTGTGTGGTGCATGTGGGGGTGGGTTCATGTGCTGTGTGTGGGTGGCGGAGCGCCGTAATCATCATCATTGTCTCCGTGCTCTCCCACCCCCCCTTCACCAGAGGCCACCACAAATTCCCCCGGCGTAAGCCGCCGCTCTCCCACCGGCCTCGTGCCCCAGTCCGTCCACACTCTCCCCTCCTCCCTCCCTGCTGGACTCTCCTCCAGCCACGCCTTCCGTCGACCCACTGACCCTGCCTCCCCTCTTCCCCCCGCCCCACCACGGCTGAAAACTCAAACCGCCTTTCACAACCCCACCTCCCTCCCTGCATGCCTCCTGCCGCAGCCACTAAAGCCATAGCCACTTCGGGAGCTGGCAACTCAAGTCCCCTGCCGCCTCTGCCTGCTTTCCCAGTCGGTACACACACACACACACACACACACACACACACGTCCGTAGGCTCTACCTTCCTTCTGTCCTTCCTCCTCCGTTCTGCCCCTGGGAGGTTGCAGCTTTTAAACTCAACTGCCAATACCTCTCCCAAACACACCCAGGCCACCTCTCCCGCTCTCCCCTTCCATTACAGGCCTGCCTTAGTAACCTGTACCCCACGCAGTGCCCTCTGTAAGGTCTAACCGTCCGCCTTCCGCTGAAACTCCGCCACCATGACTGCCAGCACTTTAATTCACAGGTGGCCGGCCAGTTCCCTTTGCGAGAGGTTGCAGCTGTGCTCTCTTCAGACCCTCTTAACGAGAAGCTTCCTTCTCCCCTAGAGCCCAAATCCTAAGAACGTCAGCTCCAAAACAGCCTCTTCCATTTCTGCACCCATTCTACCCCTGCCATAGTCCCGTCAGGAACTGAGAGCATAGTCTGAATCTATGCCCCCCCCCTCTAACCCGACCTTTAAGGTCTTTATTCGTCCTCAAACCCAGGTCCGAGATCGAGTGAAAAATGGCCTTGAAGGTTCTTAATGCCCTGGAGGAGCAGGCACAGTCAGAATGGGAGGCCTGCCTTCCACAGGAAGTGGACCTGCAGTCACGCCTTAGTTGTTTGTGGCCCTGAGGTGGACGGCAGCCGCCATGGCCCTAAGGGGGTTGTGAGCGGTGGGGGTGCAACGAAAGGAATGCCACCAGAGAATGCTTCAAATGCGGAAATGAAGGCCACTGGGCAATGCAGTGCACCTGGCCCCGAGCTCCGACCAAGCCCTGCCCGGCGTGAGGTCAAAATGGTCACTGGAAGACTGACTGCCCTGGAAAAGTGGCGGGCCCCTTACACCTCGGCATGGGGGGACCACCCTTCCAGTCCAGGACCACCCGCTGGCCATGTTGGAACTGGCTGAAGACTGAAGAAGCCCAGCCTCGATGACTCCAATCCCCTCGCTGAGCCTCGGGTCACAATGAAGGTAGTAGGTCACCTTCCCGGTTGACACGGGGGCTGCCTTCTCTGCCCTGCCCTCCTTTTTAGGGCCCCTTTATCCTTCCAAGATCTCGGACATGGGTATTGACGGCAATCCACCTGCCCTCTGGCCACTGGACCCCTTCCCTGCCTCCTTGATGATAGCATGCCCCATGCCCCTGTTAGGACGAGACATCCTCACCATCCTAGTGGCCACTCTGCAGTCACTCTGAGCCCTTCAGCTTCCCTGCTCCTCCCACTCCTGGCCCCCTCCCTTTACAGGGACACCGATTCTCCACTGCCATGCATCCCGTCATGGGGCCCTGTTGTCCCAGACCACAGTAGCCTAGCTCAGTCGTCGCCTACCTCAGTCTTCGCTGTGAACGCCTTTTCTCCTTCTCTCCGCCACAACTGTCCCCTCCTCTGAACTGAAAACTGCTCTGACCTCGCCCCATCCCCCTCCAACCTCCCCAAAGGAAAAAATGCGGCAGTTTTAAAATCCAAGCGGCTAGAGGTCTGGGAACAGGCTGCGCGACCTGCTCCCTCCCTCTCCGCCTTTTCTTCAGCCTCCAGGTCCCTGGCTTCCACTGCTCCTTCCATTTTCCTTTGGATATCAGCGCATTCTAACGTTTTCTCCCACTTTCGCTGCAATACCTACCTCTCTCAGGCTCACCGAGTGCCTCCCACCATTCCCGAGGAAGATTCGGCGACACCATCCAGGACTGGATGACACATCATTCCTCACAGGCTCTTACCTGGCAAGGGACCCTCCAATTCTGCTCAGGTTTTTCATATTTTCAGGTGAAATGGACACGGAATGATGAGGGAATCATCAATTCTACTGTCTGGATGGGAAATCCTCTAATGTCGCTCTCTATTTACGAACCCTGGACCTACTCCTATGCCCACCCTCATCAACACAACTTTCCATCTACTCTCTGACATCAGTCCCTCCTCCTCTACATCCTGCTGGATTTCTGTCACTGGCTCGAACCCTCATCATAGCCACTCAATTCCAACCTATTAAACCATCTAACTAAACTCTCTCTAGAAATTCGCAGCTCCTGGCCGGACCTCCTGCCCATGGCCCTGACCAAACTCCGGCTACACCAAGGAGCCCCACTTTCTTGAGCCCTTTTGGCTCTTCTTGCTCAACCACCGTCTTCTTACTGATCCCCCTCCCCTGGGTACGTATCTCCCATATCTGTCTTTAACCAGGCAATTGCTCCGAGAACACGAGAACAGGTTTCTGCCCAAGCCAGAGCCAACCGACCAGGACTCCCAAGACCAGCCCTTCACCCTGGTGACTCGGTCCTCCTTAAGAACCTACAACCACAAGCCTTGGAGCCTAGGTGGACGGGACTTCACACTGTAATCCTCTCAGCCCCCACTGCGGCCAAGCTGCTTGGCGACCCCAGCTTGACAACCTGTCCTGGCACCGCCTCTCCAGACTCAAGAGGAACCCGAAGCAACATGACATCTATAAATATGAGGTGTTGGGCCCCACTAAGGTCTGCCTTAACCGCCCTCCCCTCCTCCTTCTCCTCCTGGCCCTGAGCAACCTACACCCACCCCTACCCGCTTATGTGTGGAGGTTCAAGGTCCGTGAAACCTACTACCAGAACAGCAAACAAGTCACCTGGCAGGTAGGATCTCAGGACTGCCCTCTGTTCGGATGTCAGACAAAGATCCAGATGGCTGTCGACATCCAGTCAGTGTCCAAAACTGGCTGACCCTATGTCTGTTTTGCTTACAACCAGCGGAACCCAGACAGATGTAATCAAGATGTCAACACCTATGGGGTTGCCACAGAAGAGACTATCATACCACATTGCAGCCAGTCTCACCAAGGCCAGCCCAGGTACCTTCTTTTGGTGCAACGGCACCTTAAGGAACTGCATGAACTCCTCTGACCCCAGGCCTTGCTTCGTGGTCACAGTAGTTCCCCAACTAACCTTGTATGGAGAGTCGGAGCTCACTGGTTGCTCCCTCCATCCCATCCCTGGACCCGCTGGGCTGCCTTCCCCCCTGTCATTTTAGGGGTGAGTATCACTGCCTCAGTAGGCCTCACTGGGGGGCCCTCGGAAACAGTCTGGTCACTGCTCAGGACTTTAATGACAAGCTCCAGTTAGCCCTGGAGTCTACTACCGCCTCTTTTAGCCTCCCTACAGTGACAAGTGACATCAGTAGCCCAAGTAGCCCTGCAGAACCAGCTCGCCTCAGACCTTCTGACTGCAGAAAAAGGAGGAACCTGCATATTCCTTCAGGAAGAATGCTGTTACTACATCGAGTCCGGAGTAGTAGAGCAAAACAAAACGTACAGACCCTGACTAAGCTGACTGAAGAACTACATGCAGGACACTTCCAGAACAACTCTCCTTCCGGCTGGTTCCAAAGCCCCTTAGCCACCTGGGTCCTACCCATGATAGGGCCCCTGATTCTCATCTGTGTTCTTTTTTCTCCTAGCCCCCTGCCTCCTCAAGTTCATCCACTCCCGGATTGTGGAGATGTCACGAGTGACTGTGAATCAGCTCCTGCTCCATCCCTACACTCGGCTCCCCTCCGACCTGCCTCTGCCAAACCCTGGCCTTTAACTGCCCCCCCTTCGCCGCCCGTGGTCAGCTGGAAGCAGCCAGAATGAGTCGCTGTCCCTTATCACCAAAAGGCCGGGATGTTAGGTCGGAGAGAGCCCAGGATCGGATACATGCAGACATGACAAGATAATAGACTTCCCCTGGAATTTCTCACAGATATAGGTGCCAGACACAGATACCAGCTTCTTCTCCCTGAATTCACATACCCCCACACAGATAAGAACTTCATCCTGAATATTCCGCCCATTCCCTGCAGCAGAGAATTCCTCAGCTCATGTCCCCGCCCCTCACCCAACCGCAGTATAAACAAAGCGCCCCCCTCCCTGTTGGCGTGAATCCACGTACCCTGTCCTTGGGGTACGTGGGTCTCCCGGGGACGCAGAATAAACCTTTTCCTTTCCTTTCTTTTCTGATTCACTGGACTCTATTTCTTGCGCCGCCTCCTGAGCCACCTAACCTAACAATAAGGAGAATTGAAAAGGCACAATATTTTTTTTCTTTAAATTTCACTATGATACCATAATTAAAAATAATGCTTACTTGCATAATTTACACTGAATTATATTAAGATATAAATGTGAGCTTATAAATTAGGAAATGTACTCCTCCTATTGGCTGAGTCAGGCCACCATGTTTATAACTAAGGGCTGCTTACTTTACAAAATGCAGGCACAAAATGTTGTGTGCTAAGGCATTGGTGTTAATGGGAGAGGAAAGAATGGAAAGTTTGTAAACATCTGAAATTTGAAACTACAAGGTTAACTGTAGATAGGAAATAGAATAGCAAAGGTGAAGAGGCACAACATGATTATTTTTAGTTTCTGCCAACCTATCAGTTAAGAGAACCTTTTTAGTACTTGTTTGTTTTCTGATCGGTCATGTGAGAGTTATAGGTCATTTGCCTTAAATTTATGAGGATAGAATTGGGAATTGTTTCCCAAGACATTAGTAGCAATAAACATCAGAATTACAGTTTCCTGGCCTCCTGTTTCTTCTAAGCAGTGTTATTTTTAGCAAGAATTACAGAACCCAGCCCTTCAGGGTGAGGGGTTAGCAGGGTTTCCTAACCTTGGCACTGTTGATATTTGGGGTACAGTCTCTTTGCTGGAGGTCTTCCTTGTGCCTGTGGAATGTTTAGCGGTATCTCTGATATCTACTCACTGGATGCTAATAGCATCATCCCCAAGTTGTAACAACTGAAAAAAGTCTCCAAACACTGTCAAATGCCCGCTGGAAAAATGACAACATCGCCCTCGGCGAGAATCAGGAAGAACCACTGGGGTGACACCCCTCTGTGTTCTCTTTAAATCCGGAATCAAGGGAAGACCGCTATCTGGGTGTGTGTTTCCTTTTTGCAACTCTTACCCTGTAGTGCTAGCCTCATAAATAATAGAGGCTCGCTGAGCATGTGTGGGCTAAAGACAAGAAGATACGTCCAGAGCACTGCCCCTCTCTGTCACCTTTCTCAGCGCTCCCTTCCACATACCTGCGGGAATATGGACTTGGAGCGGAAGCTACTCTTAGGGAGACTCATTATTCATGCAAACTGAGCTGAGGAATCCACACCTTACCGCTTATTCGATGACCACATTGCTTTAAGGAATGTCCAGAAATTGCACTTCTCCGTGGCACTCTTGGCAGAGCTCCTGTAACACTGTCTTTCAAGAAGCAACCAAACCTGTTTTCAAAAGCAGCGTCACTTAGGCAGTAGAGTAATAAACACACATTGAGCCCTAACTGGTTTTGCTCAGTGGATAGAGTGTCAGCCTGTGAATTCAAGGGTCCCAGGTTCAATTCCGGTCAAGGGCATGTACCTTGGTTGCAGGCACAACCCCAGTAGGGTGTGTGCAGGAGGCAGCTGATCAATGTTTCAAATCTTCTATCCCTTTCCCTTCCTCTCTGTAAACAAATCAATAAAATATATTTTTTAAAAAATAAACACACATTGAGGAAATGTCTAGCATTTTTGTACACTAATCAATAGAGTCAGCAATAAGAAAAACAGGGCAGTTTCCCTGACACTTGCTGGGAAGAACATTCTTAGAGGCAATACAATAATATTTAATGGTATTTGTAATACCTAACTTCAGTCTTGTTTTCCTTTACATTCACATTTTTAAGTAAAGAAAGTCAATTACATTAAAGAGTTAATGACTTTTCCTGAGGTCCTAAACTTTTGGGGAATTAAGTTCCTACCTGGTGATTATTTTTATATATGCTTTCATTTACTTAAGAAATAATTTCCTCCTCACCTATGTGGCTCAGGAGGTCACAGTTGGATTCCAGATCAGGAAACATAACTCGGTTACAGGCTCGATCCCCAGTAGGGAGCATGCAGGAGGCAGCCGATCAAAGATTCTCATCATTGATGTTTCTATCCCTCTCTCCCTCTCCCTTACTCGCTCTCTGAAATCAATTAAATAACAAAAAATATATAGCCCTTGTCAGTTTGGCTCAGTGGATAGAGTGTCGGCCTGTGGACCAAAGGGTCCTGGGTTCAATTTTGGCAAGGGCACATAACTTGGTTGCAGGCCCAGGCCCTGGTCAGACCATGGATAAGAGGCAACCAATCCATGTGTTTCTCTCACATCAATGTCTCTGTCTTTCTCTATCTCTTCCAGTCTCTCTAAAAAAATCAAAGGAAAAATATCCTTGTGTGAGAATTAATAACAACAAAAAGAAATTATGTCAGTCATAAGAGTTGAATCTACATATGGTGTTTATCTTGCTTCTAACTCCTTCTAGTCCACACCTGATGAAAGACTTTTTTCCATCTTTAATGTCAACCTATATATATATATATATTATTGATTTTTTTTACAGAGAGGAAGGGAGAGGGATAGAGAGTTAGAAACATTGATGAGAGAGAAACATCGATCAGCTGCCTCCTGCACACCCCCTACTGGGGATGTTGCTCGCAACCAAGGTACATGCCCTTGACCAGAATCGAACCTGGGACCTTTCAGTCCGCAGGCTGACCCTCTATCCACTGAGCCAAACCGGTTAGGGCCTTTAATGTCAATTTTAATGGTAATTTCATTATTCAGAAGTATTCTACAATCTAGCTCAACTTTTTATTTATAAAGTTATAGTCTCTCACATCCAATATGGGTTTTCTCTACAAGTTTAACATATAGAATCAAAGGATGATTGTCTAATTCCTATTTTTTTTTAAATTCAAATGCAGTGAAGAGTAAAAAAGAATTATAAAATTGGACATGGGAATGATTAAGAAACATTCATTCTGGACATTGATCAAAATTAAAGAAAAGAACAATCGAGCTATGGCTGTATTTAGGCAACTTTATGACCTAATAATATTTTTAATGTTATTAGGTCATATTTTTTCAGTACCCTTCCTTTTCCAAATTACCAGTTAAAAATATATATTCACTCCCCATATGTACCCTCAATGACCCAACTATCTTATTATAAGCACCATTCAGTCCAGGCCCCTCCCAAGGTCACAAGTTCTGGATCTTATTCAATTATATTCTCAACAAAATGCTTGCTTTCCATTCTATTTTCCTAGGACTGTGCTATTGGCAGTTGTGACCATGAGTTCTTGAGCAGGTGAAATGTACACCTGTTATTAAATCCCTTCTTGAAACAATCGCTTCACCCGACGATTCACAAGCATTTTCCTTATAAACCTTTGATAGAAAATGACTACTTTCTACTACTTTAAGTGAATGCAGCACTTGTTTAGAATGCAGTTTCCAGGCCAAAGCGACTTTGGTTCAGTAGGTCTGGGCTTCAGCCTAAGACAGTGGTTGGCAAACTGCGGCCCTTTGAGTGTGGCTCTTCCACAAAATACCACGTGCGGGCGTGCACATACAGTGCGATTGAAACTTCGTGGCCACACTCAAGGGGCCAAAAAGCCACATGTGGCTAGAGAACCACAGTTTGACGACCACTGGCCTAAGAAATTCCTTTTGTAAGATCCACTCTAGGTGATTCTTTGAACCCCATTTGAGAAGCGTACCCCTGTGAGATGCTGTACCACTTTGCACACAACTGCTTCCATTTTGAAAAATGACTGGCTTCCTCAATAAGGAAATATTACCTCTTACCTTTTTTTTTTTTTTTTAAATATATTTTATTGATTTTTTACAGAGAGGAAGGGAGAGAGATAGAGAGTTAGAAACATCGATGAGAGAGGAACATCGATCAGCTGCCTCCTGCACATCTCCCACTGGGGATGTGCCCGCAACCCAGGTACATGCCCTTGACCAGAATCGAACCTGCGACCTTTCAGTCCGCAAGCCGACGCTCTATCCACTGAGCCAAACCGGTTTCGGCAACCTCTTACCTTTTATCTGTGCTGTTAGTTATACTTGCAGGGAGAAAGCTGAATAGCAAACACCTGGGGTGAAAGGTGCACATGACCTGGCAGTGATGGGTGCTCGGGGTGTACATGGCGGTCACATCCCCGCCTCTGAAGAAGACATTCTCATGTAGTTGAGATAGGCATCCTGTGATATTATCATTGAAAAAACACACGTCAATTTGGAACAAATGCAAATAATGCTTTTAATAGAAATGTATCTGTGTCCTGATGCTTCTTAATTCCTCGATGGAATTCCCAAAGATCTGTGCAACATGACCTTAAGTATAAAGGCAGAATAAAACATATTAAGGCCACTATTTGAACAAGGTATGATTAAAGGGTATTTTATGGGTACTTCCATATGAAAAAAAACACTGGGGTAGATTTTTATTCAATCATATAATAATTTGCACATAAATTACTGCCAAGAAAACTCACTCCTAGCTTGGCTTCTTCCTGTTGCCTGACATGCTATGAAAATATCATGTCTTAAAAATAATGATATATGGTCTCTTTTCAAAACACTTTCTTAACAAACATCCCCCTAGATTCTCACAAGAGTTCTGTAAGGGAAGCTGGAGACAGGCTTGACCAGGTGCATCTGACTTTCTCTTTTTTTAAGAAAGCAGTTAAGTAACTGGGTTTTGGGGCAGCACCGACTTATCCATGATCCACAGGGTTAATGAGTGTCCCGGGACATAAACCCGGCCCTTTCAACTTCCCATCTTGTTCCCTTTTATTGTCCAATATTAAATGTTCTTCCTCATCTCAGTTTAATAGAGCAAATTAACCCTTATTGGGCATTTATTACTTTAGGCATGAGGGCTTGGCAGTGCTGGCTCAGTTTCTACAAGCACTATTTTTAGATAATTTAAGCAAATGCATGTATATGCCAAGCTGAAAATATATTTGGAGGTGTTTGCTGTTTGGAATTGTTCATAGTTCTAAAGTGCCCTGCATCCCACATATTATTGTTATCTGGAAAGGCACACTTCAAAGTCTGCTTAATAAGCTTTTCCAACCCCAGTAGTGCGTTCCGTCTGGCTGGTCAACTGTCCGTTAACCACAGGATATTCCCGTAACAACCTTGTCCATGGCTTAGGGCAGCAGTCACGCTTCAACTTTAACCATGTCTATTTTTGTATTGTCTTTCAGCTTAGACACAGGTATTTCATTAACACTCAAGTTTAAATTTCCTCTGCACTGTCCAACCCCTCTGAGGATTCTAGCCCTGGGCTCTATTATGACACCCAACCTAACAAAATTGCTTCTCTCCCGCTCAGAGGTGTGGCTAAGATGACTTGCCTTTGGGTAAGGTTTATATTTAGGAAGAGCAGAGAGCTCTTTAGGTTGGAGCTTCTGGGAATACAAGTGCCAAGTATGCAGGAATGGCCTGCTTCTTAGGCGACTGGTGCTTTCGGCTGATTCATAATTACTAAGCTACCACCTTCCCCATCTCAATGCTCAGAAAGGGTGCACACAATGACTGGTGTTAGCTGAGAGCCCCCATTCTGGGCCTGAGCCTTTGTCAACTGCCAGGTGAGTTGGCTGTGGGTAAGGCAGCTAGAAATACACTAACGTTAGAGAGAAGCAGAAAGAAAGTTCTAGTGAGTGTTCTTGTTTATCCTTATAAGTTGGTGATGATGATGATGATGATGACGACGACAATTTGATGAGAGGCTTTTTGTATTGTATTTTAGAGTGTCTGTAAAACAATGTTACATAAGTTATCTCATAACATGAAGTTATGTTATATCACATTGGGCCCTGTGTCCATAGACTTTGGGCTATTTGGTTTTGTTTAAAAAAATTACATAATGAATAAGGACAAGAAAAGCACTCTGATTTTTATAAATTGGGTGAAGGATATGAAAAGGTAATTTGAAAAAGTAAAACAAGCAACTGATTATGTACATGAGAAAATGTTAAGAATCATAAATACAGACAAGTTTAATCAACTAGATGCCATTTTACTCACCAGAGTAGCAAACATTTTAAATGATCTAAGTACCCTGTGTTGAGGTACTAAAGTCAGTTGCAAATGATAAAAAAACAAACCAAAAGCCTAGTTCAAAGTTCAACGTAACTGATACAAATGAAATGTACGGGCTCAGACCCCAGAGTCCATGGGGAATCTGGATTCAGGCAGACGTGGGCGTGGGGCTCAGCTGACCCTATCATAACACCATTTGTCTGCAGACGATTGCTCTGCTTCGGTGTCGCCTTTGCTCCACATAATGGCAAGACCGCGTCAGAGCCCAGGCCTCTCTGTGCTCCCAAGCTCAAGTCCAGTTTGAAGGGAAAAACAATCAGTATTATCTCTAGAAGTGCAAACAATAGTGTTGTTGCCAGGCGGTGGCCCTGAGCAGGTCCCCTCAGGCAGCAGGCTGTGTGCACTTACCGGGTCAGGCCTGCCTGGGTCACAGCCACAACCGCATGGACCCTAACTGGGAGGCCGCAGTCTCCCAGAGATGAGAGAGGCGAGGAGGTGCCAGGAGAGGAACAACTGATGAATATTCCAGTCAGCCTAAGTGGCGAAATGACCCTCCCATGTGCTGGGGAGAAAGTCAGCGTAGGAATAGCCTTTCTGGAAGTGAATTTCACAATGTAGAGCATGAAACCTTCCAAAACACCCACACCTTTCTACCTTATTTCTAAAAGGTTATTCTACCAAAATAACTGAATATGTGTGCAGAAACCTGCATACAAAAATAACATGAATGGGGGAATGCTAAGCTTCAAATAATATGACATACCAACTCATGCGAGAAGATAGCTATGAATAGGAAACGTGAGTAATAAAAATATCTATGATTAATAACATCTTTGTTAAATGTGTAAGTAGACACATGTAGAAAAATAAATGAAAGATTAAACAAAAGACCTTTAAAAGTAGCCATTTCTGAATGATGAGATTATAGACAATATGTAGTCTCTCATTTTCTGCTTACTTGCACCTTCATTTTCCTAGCATGAACATATATAATTTTTTTTTCCATAAAGAGAAAATTTAGTGGCCATGGTCCAGGGCATCTCTGGCTTCTAATCCTCAGCATCAGTGGATTTGTGCGTGGTGATGATTATGGCTCAGAAGAACTATGAAGAGTGAGGGGACAGATGGAGGGGAGTTGCGGTTTAGAAAATAAAAGCTTCTTCCTGAAGAAATTATCTCTTTTTAGAAACACAACCTTTACCCAGGAGGGTTTGTCTCAGCCATACATCTGAGAAATAAGTAAACAGCACTGTGGTGGCCTCATCCTAAGTCAACATAGACTCCAAATCCACCCGTAAGGGCGGCACAGACCAAACGCCGCTCTAGCAGGATTCATGGGAAACAGTGTCCGTACTCATCCTAATTCCCTGAAAATTTCATGGACTAGAGAGAGAGAAGTAAGGTCAAAACCACTGGTTTGTTGAAACTAGAGCTACTCAAATGGATGGCTTATTGAATTGAATTTAAACCAGAAACTTACAATTTTGAAATGGTTCGCAGGTTGCCTATAAGAATCAAAGTATGTACTGTGTACCTATTAGGATACTCAGATTGGACACGGGCACTTTGAAATGCTGGGCACTCTGGAACATTCAGACAGAGTTGATTTTTAACTAATGTTGATAGAAGGCTGATTGTTTTCAAGCTGCTTTGCAGGGAGTCCTTTCCAAACAGAAGTTTCTGCCAACACATACCCAGAGGCACTCCCACTCCTGGGCTCCTTGCCCTGAGGTGCCTGGGAAATACTGAGCATGCAAAGGACGTGTCCTGACTTATTAGGGCCTGGCTCCTTCCCCAAAGCTCTCTGTTCAGTAGCTTTTTCCAGTGGTGCCCCGTCCTTCCTAACTTCCCTCCCACACCCTTAACTGGACGTCTTGTAGATAATCCACTCACCACAGGAGACTGTAGCAAACAAGCAAATGAAATAAGCTGCTTGCCTGGAGGGAACCATCCTAAAAGAGAAAGCAGCACATGTGTGAGTGCTGGGTGAGGGCTATTGAACATGAGCTTTAATCTAAGTGACGTAGAGTTTCTCCTCAACGTGTGGATGGTGAATCAAAGCACACAATTACCATATAGAGAACATGGGTTTCCTACACATTTTGTGCTCCCGGACTCGACACAAGATGCAAATTGAGACATCCAGAGGAATAATTGTGTTCATTGCTCCTTTGTCACCTGTATTGTTCGTAATTATGGAAAGGGAGTTGGTAAAAGGGAACTAAACAGTTGTGAATCCTCTTGATTTGAGCAGAAAGAAAATTACTGTAAATAATGGCAATAATATCCCCAAGTAAAACTCTCAAAATATTCAAATGCATGTATTAATTTTTAAATCAGCCAATATTCTTAGCATTTAAAATAGCTAACACTTAAATATGTCCACATATAAGAACACGTTTCTTCAACATTTTCTAAATAGGCAGGCAATTAAAATAAACTAGTGGCTTCTTCATAACGTAAAAACTAGACTTAATTTTTTTAAAACCTGCTTTATTTGGAAGCAGTGGGAATAATAGAAATTCTCTACCTGAAGGCAGGGCTGCTTCCGAGCTTCTGGGCTGAGGGTCTCCTGACTCTGACAAAGGGCCACCGTCAGCAGCCTCCCTGCTGGGAGGGAAGCAAACACAGCCTCCCTGCAGGCTCTGTTTGCTTGCCTTCACTATTAATACCTTCCTGCCAAGTTTCAGCATTTTGTCCTGTCAACATGGTCCATGAACATGCCATTCCTGTGTCCAACTATCCTATATAATAAAAGCATAGGT